AGGGAGAAATATAACACAATGGAGCTCTTCAAGCGACCAAGACAGAGTCACCGATGCAGAGTAAGCCCTATAGCGTTTATGACAACGGTCAGTCCACGTTGTGGAGATGCATTTCCTCCTTTTCTGGGCCCACAGATCTTGCACCTGGGGCTCACTGCCTGGGTCAGCAGATTTTAAGATGTGGTTGTGGCGAGCGGCTTAGCCGGAGAACTCACTCACCGTGTGTCCAAATGCGGCTGCCGTGCTGACCGTGGGAGGAAAATGCAAACAACGTGAGCGAGCTGTGCCTCTGGAGGAGGGAGTGCAAGAGTCCGTGGGCTGGTCAAGGAAAGAGGGAGTTCAGGGAGAGAAGGTGCAGGTAGCCCTCTGAAGGCTAGAAAGCTTCCGTGTTTCCAGTGTTCAAGCTGGTTTCAATTTAAAATGTCTGTCTTCAAGGTTTGCTGCTTAACCGTTAGGGCAAGCAAGCCATTTGTATGTAATTTTGTGAATGACAGTTAATATCCCCACATAACCCCTGGACTCCAAAAGCTGGGTCTCTAGGATAAATGCCAAAAAATCTGCAAAACATTTTGAGGAATTGGCTTCCGTTCCTGTGCAAAGAACAGGTCAAAACCCCCTCCTGCAGCACGGTGGATGTGCGGTGAGTTTTAGTGAGCCCGAGATAAGCTTGGCCAGGTCAGCCCCAGTGGGCCTGTCCATCACGAGGATTTTAGCCCAGACCCTCCTGTTGCTCCACCTGCCCCTCTGTTAGCAGTTGTGGCCCTCGGGAAGGTGGCAGAGGCAGAGGCGTGCCTGAGCCGACAGCCGGAGCTGCGACGGAGTAGGGGCTGAAGGTAATGCCTCGGCCTCTGAACCGGCTGGCGGAGGACGGGCACGGGTCTGCTTGTCACATCTGCTGGAAGGTGAGCAGGGGGGGTCCTACGGAGGGACGTGAGCTCTCTTTTTGGTTCCGGAGCTGCTGTGAAAATGTAGCTGCGGCCAGTCTCGGAGCTCACCTCTCCCTCTGGCCAGGAGGGACGGTGGCTATCCAGGGCGTTGACTGCTTGTCGCTTAGGATGACATTTGGCTTGGCAATTCCAGGAGCACTGATAAGGCCACGTGTTTATTCACAGCTAAATCCACAAAAGCACTTATGTGATACAACGTTCCTGTACCCATACACTCTCCACTGCCTGCTGGGCTTTTCCAGGGCAGGTTGATGGGTGCAGCCCCGTTCTGTCCCCAGAAGCACGTCCAGAGGAGAGGTGTGAAGCCAAAGTATCGTGGGCTGCTTGGCAGAAACCCTGCAGCAGGAAGGGTGGGAACATCTTTGCCCCAGAACAGCCTCTGGCCTCCAGGTTAGGATGCGATTTTGAAACTTCTCAAGGGAAGAAAATTGGAAGTGGGTCTCCCGCGTCCTGGGAGCGTGCTGTGGCCACCACACCGCTGGGTTTAAGATGGGTGCTGTCGCTTTCTGCAGGTTTCTTCCTCGGGAGATGGTAGAAACCTTTGTGATGAGCCCTTCATGGGAGGATGCTACCAGGAGGAACTCCCAGAGCACAGAGTAGAGGAATGGTTCAGGTCTGAACACAGCTGGATCTTTGCTTTCAGTGCCTGCTGAGAAAGTGAGGTCTTCCTGGGCATGCACAGCACAGTCCCCCAGGGCTGGGTGTTACGGACAGGGGAGCTAAGAGGGATGGCACCAGGGGAGTTGAAGGTAAAATCCTATGGAGCTGAGATTCCAGTAGGACTAGGAGGCGGCTGCCTCCTATGCAGGAGTTTTCAGGAACATGATTTTGGACTTAGGTGCCTAAAATTTCTGCTTAGGATCCAAAAGCTCTTTTCGAGTCAGCTCATGCAAGCTAAATATCCAAGGCAGCTGGTGCACTGGGGGAATAAGGTGGGTAAATCTCAATGAGGGCACATGCTCAGCTACCTCAGCCCTGATCTCAGCCCCAGATACGCGCTAGGCTGCCTCTGAGAGCAGTTGTTCACCTCACAACAAAGATGAAAACATGCATCTCATCTCCTGACACCATCCGCAGAAGCTCCTACCTCTACACTTCCACCACCGCAAGCCCTCAGCAGCTGATCGTAAGCAGTTCCACGTGTCGCGGAAACAGAAAACGTAAGTAACAGAAAGCGTGCCCTGTTTGTTTTGGATTCGGTTGATGAACACAATGACCATGTGATAATTCCCACCATGTGTCAAATCCTTATGTTTCACATCTCTTGCAGCTTGCTCTGAATGTCCTGTTGCTTCTGTGCTCTGCTGCTAAGACGAAGCTGCGCGTAGAGGTGCTTCCCAGGGAAAGGCCGGTTTCCCCACCAGCACTGGAGGCAGGTGCAGAGGGGAGGGCAGAAATGGCCGAGGAGCAGAAGGAGGGAGGGCTGTGAGCGGAGATTCCCACAATATGGTGGGGAAGGCCATAGAAGCGTTTGAGGACCTCAGCTTTTGCTAGTTTTAATTTACTGAGTCTGGAAACGTAACGCTCTTGGAAATATTATGGTTCTTGTTCCATAGGAAGGTGACCTGAAACACTAGTAAAGTGTTGGAAGTCATCACTGGGATCTCTTTTTACATATTTATTGTTCCCTCGAAGTTATGAGACCCCAGAGAGGACACTTTTTTCTTGTCTGTTTATTTGGCTTAGAAGGGCTGTCGTGCGTGTGTTTTGGAGGTGCTGATCCTTCTTCACGTGACCACTGTTCGGAAACGGCTGTGTGTGCTGAGGGGCTGCTGATCCTATGGACAACGGTGGAAGTGCTAATGGGTGAAAACCCATCTCTTCTCAAAACAAGCATCTGCGACTGAAAGCTAGTGTGTTTTCTTGTGAGTATGGGCTCCCAACTCTTTTTTTGCACAGGAATTTTGTATATAAAAAGATGAAATGATATTTGCCTGCATCCCAGCAGGTTTCCCTGCTTTGAGATGGGAGATTAGAAGTTACTTGGAGTATTTGCAGAAAGCTTCTCCTTGAAAGCAAAGCAAAAGGCACCTTTTAAGGCACGTAAATGGAGAGCTGCAGTCAAAATAGGTGCTCTACAGCTTCCAGCCATGTAAATATTTGTGATAATTCCAATATTTTCCCCTTCCCATCTGGGTGAAATGCTAGTTTCAAAGCTTTGGGCTTTTTTTAGCGCTAAACGAGAGATCCGTGGTCCGAGCATTTACATGGGCAGTAATTTCTTGCTCTGCTCTGCTCATTTCTGAACTTATTTCTGGGTGTGCTGGTGGACGACAGGTTGACCATGAGCCAGCAGTGTGCCTTGGCTGCCAAGAAGGCCAATGGGATCCGGGGATGCATTAGGAAGAGTGTGGGCAGCAGGTCGAGGGAGGTTCTCCTGCCCCGCTCCTCTGCCCTGGTGAGGCCCCATCTGGAGTCCTGTGTCCAGTTCTGGGCTCCCCAGTTCAAGAAAGATGAGGAGCTACTGGAGAGAGTCCAGC